TGGAAGATGGTATGGTGGATATGTTTATCTGAGCCGTGGATGATGAGAAGCGATTAGGGAAGACATCAGGTTCAATGTGGATATTGTTCCCAATCCAACGTTCTCATGCTGATTAAGACCCGCCGATTGGTCATGATGATCTGGTGAGTGTGCAAAAAGTTCATGGGAGAGCAATTGTGATACGCACAGCGGAGATTGAATAATTTTAGGAGTGTTAACACAGCGCTAAAGGTGACTAAATAGACTAAAACTAGATAAGCAGTGTTATGGATGAGATTATTAGCAAATCCTCATACCTAATATAAAGTGAATAATAAAACGTGAACAATTATAAATTATCCTAATCATTGATAATGGGGGAATTCTTTGGTGAATCAAAAAAATGTATGTGAAACATGAAAAAATCCCAATGGAAAATGTGGCAAAGAGCACAGATTATATAGAGATTGAATAATTGTTTGGACCTACTGGATTTTTACTTGGACAATTTTCAATCTTTTTTGTGGCTTTTAGGAGCACAATATATTTTTAGTAATAGACATTATAAGCACAGAATCAATTTTGGCTGAATGATAGGAGTTGGTCACAATCTGATTTCATATTTTTTGTTACATCCTGGTGATATAGAAGTTTTGATTGATTGTTTGATTTATGCTGATTAATGTTTTTTTTTCATTTAAAGTATATTGTGTTAGAATTAGCATAGTGCACATTCATATAGTGTATAGTAGGGATGCACCGATACCAAGTACCGTACTCGGTACAAGTACATGTACAGATAATTTGAGCTCCAAGACTAGACTAGAGAAAAATTCAAAAGTTAGGAGGCAGTTGTCATTTGTAAGGAGCACAGGGAGCTCCTGGGATTTGTACATCTCTGTTTTAATGTATAATTTTGTTTTTATAAATAAAGGGATACACCTATACCAGTTTTGCAAGTACAAGTACTGATACTTGCCCAAGTACTTACAAGCAATGATACATTTTTGTTTATTGTCATGTGACAGTTTTCCTAAAATAATATCGACTAATGATTTCAGGACAGTGGTGGAGCCCCAGAGCCAGGTCCCAGCTGCAACCGCTGCAGCCCTGGTAGTTCTCATGAAAATGCCAAGTATCGGCATTGATACTCAAAAAGTATCGGGGCACCCCTACTGCATATACTTGGTTTGGTGAATACAACTACAGCACAGCAGCTGTTTAGATTATATTGGTCCCCCATAGCGTGGATCTATATTGAATAATCTAGGGCATCAATGAGCTCTGGTCACAAAAGGGTTAAATGGAGCTGGAACATCTTTATAAAGACACTAAAACAAGGAACTGGAAAAAAAAAAAATTTCAACCCACCAATGCCTGGTGCCCTGGAGTAAGCTGTGCCTGCTTCATACACTACTCAATTGTTGTAAAATAATAATACTCTATATTTGTTTCCGGATAGATTAGGAGTTCCTGCTCAAAGAGGAAATAAAGTTGTGTCATCGGTAATAGGACATTATTCACTGGTACAGTGTGATGGCTGTGATCAGCTCCTGGTGGTTTTTGGCTGATGGAAAAAAACAATACCAGCCTTTGTGTGGGAAATACCTGAGCAGGTGAATGGATCACATTGATTTGTTATCTGATGAGAATAAACTAAAAACTATTATCAGACCAACTTCCATCTACATAGGACAAGTCAGGATAGCGGAGGAAAAACGAAAATGGGTCACTGTCCCTGGGCAAAATGGCTTGACTAGAGAGACAAATACATGAAGTTGTCAGGTACATTTGAGTGGCTCCTGAGATCCATCCATATTCAGAGTGGAACATGGTCACATCCACCACCCATTACCTGATACGCAGAGTTCTTCTCCCCACAGGCTGTTAGAATTTGAAAATGGCGCAGCTGTGCATGGCTTCGCCCACACAACCATGCCATTCATTTACAGACCTTTCATAGGTTCTTTGAATGGAGAAACTATGCGTCCCATTAGCCACTGCGTCAGAGGGACTGGAATACAAGTGCAGTGACATCACCACGCTTGTAGTCCATGTTACTGAATGCCTGTACCATGTCACAGACATGGACAGCAGGGAGAATCTGCAGGAGCCAGAGCATTGCATCTGCAATCCACTGATCGTGATTGCAATGCTTTTGCTTTACTGGCTCCGGAATCCGGAGCAGAATCCCACAGTTACCGATCAGCTTCTCTCTTCAGTGAAGCTTTGAAAATGAAAGATTGAAGCCGACTTGTTACAATGGGCAACTGCTCCGGTTTTGATAAAATTCCAAAAAGGTGGACTTTTACCTTTACAGCACAACTTATCCAACATATCTTGTTCTTGCCTCACGACAACGGCAACCTTACATCTGCAATGACAGGAAACCTTTGACAAAAGCAACATGCAGGATTCCATTGATGCTAGCTATTCCAAAGCTGGCTGCCTGGCTTTTATGCTAACCCAGTGCCCCCAACACCGTAAAGGAGGCCATACACTGTGCGAATTTCGGGTGGTTCTTAATGAACTGGCCCAAATTCGCACATTGGATGTTGCCGTCTGCACCTTTTGAGCCGGCATCCCTCAATCAGCTGATCGAAGGAGACGGTCAGAAAATCTTCAAAATGTACAGAGAAGATACCCAACGATGCCAGCTCTGTTCGGGTATTCTGACCGCGTGCGATTACTCGATCAACACTCGTAATCATTGATTGAGTAATCGATTATATTTTCTTTGAAAATAAAATATTACAGTGTATGGGCAGCTTAAGTCACTGATCTAGAACTATGCAGATCACCAGGTCTGACTATCTGCTCGAAGCTTGTTTTTTTAAATGAACATATTAAAGTTTCATCAGCACAGCTGCCAGGAGGAGGTCAGCAATGGCAGCCTATATATTTTTCTTTAAGATGTTCTCCTCTAGTACAGCGACAACAAAACTGAGAGCTTGCACATCACAGCATGTATCATTTCACACTACAACTTCTTAGTCAGCTATTTCCATCAATGCCATCCTTGGATTACAGCTCATCAGTGCACTGATCCATGGGTCAGCAGACACACATTTTCCTCCATTCTCTAGGCAGTGATACTAGGACATCAAGGAAAGCAAAACCTATGCTGCAATACACGATACATGGTTTATGAATAGATTTCAGACCTGTCTGCATGCTTAAAAGGAGAACTATGGGGTCAGGGCTTTTCCCCATAGTCCTCCTTAGGGTAACGGGAGGACACAAATTAGCGTCCTCCCGTCACCCTAAGCTTAGTATATAGGGAGCTACAGCTCGCGGTATACTGAGACGCCGCAGCTGAAGCGGATCCCGACAATTATGTCTGGATCCGCCCAGCTGCGTGAGTGACAGCTGGCTCTGCCTATATAGAGGCAGAGCCAGCTGTACCCGCCCCCTCCCCCCGTCCGTTCCGCCAGTCAGCGCTGGAGGGAGGGGGGAATCCAGTCCCTCCCCTGCCACAGCAGAGAGCAGTGACAGGATTGAGAAGTGAGCGAACGCCGGTATGTGTTCGCTCACTTCCCGATCTATTGAGCCGACCTGTGACAGTTTCATTGTCACAGGTCGGCTAGAACTATGAGGTGAGTGAAAAGCACCCCCCTCATAGTTCTCCTTTAACTACACTGTACCGTGAGCTTTCATGGCCTTTAATGGGCCCTTCAGTTTAAAAAAATATATATAAAAACACAAACTTTATGTTTAACAAACATACATTGATGCACTGTATATCTGAAGGAGAACCATTCAAAGCAATGGTATTCTGAATGCAATGTGTTAATCTATAGGCGCGAATGGTTGTATAATAAAAGTGAAAACAGAAACATAAAAATAAATGGTGTGCACAAACCCAACACAATTTCCTAACAATTTGGGCACAACAGGGTAACTGTCTATAATATCTGATCTGCCCATAGAGCGAGATATGGAGAATGTTGCACAACTGAACCTGCCATGTCTTCTATTGGTTTGCCTGACCGGCTAAAACATAACGTGGCAGTCGCTCAGATTTGTACACATGCACAACAGGCATTTAAGAGACAGCAATATTGCCTCCTGAACACAGTGCTCTGAAAAGCAATCCACGGCAGAGTTTTTCAGAGGCCAGTAAAAGTCTGCCCCCCATGTAAATGAGGTCTTATTCACTCTACTATAAAAACTTAAAAGGTGTTCACTTACACTTTAAAATACAGATTTACTAGCAGGAAACTGCAGCAAAATTGCAAGAAGAGTTTTTTCAGTAAATTATGTTTTGTCAGGACCTTCCACTGCATCATTCTGGCCTGATAGTTAAGACACTACAGAACACCACCCCCTATCCTACTCTTTATAACCTAAGGTGAGGTGTTCTGTAGTCCACAAAAGAAAACTGGGCAGAGCTGATAACACTGCTTGGAATGAGTTCTCAGCTGACTGAAACAGGCATTGTTTTGTACCTGCAGCAATTGTAAAGAGACAAAATTTGCAGAGAAGGCAGCCTCCCTTCCACTTCTCTCGATCCTGTAACGGCAGAGGGGCTGGATTCCCCTCTCCGATCTGCCAGCGCTGACTGGCGGAACGGATGGGGGAGGGGGCAGGTACAGCTGGCTCTGCCTCTAGATAGGCAGAGCCAGCTGTCACTCACGCAGCTGGGCGGATCCCGTCATCTACGTCGGGATCCGCTCCGGCGTCTCAGTATACCGTGAGCTGTAGCTCGCGGTATACTGAGCTTAGGGTGACGGGAGGACGCAAGTTTGTGTCCTCCCGTTACCCTAAGGAGAACTATGGGGAAAAACACTGACCCCATAGTTCTCCTTTCATCTTCAATACATAAAGTGGGCTGGTTGCTATAGGTTACCACCCTCCCTGCTCTCACTGTGACATATGTCGGCATGCAGAGTATAGAAGGGATCTGATGACATGTAGCTGGTTTATCCCAGTGATAACCTCTCTATGGTCAACCCTTCTTCCCCAGCCCTGCCATCTCACACATGATATAGAGGAGGTGGGGGGATAGATCCAGTAATCACCTGAATGCGGCTTTCTCCTTGGTACCTCTGCCGGATGGACAGCTGTGTCCTCTCTTGCTGAACAGCCTGTGCAGGAGAGCCATGGTGATGGTGCTGACACATAGCCCACCCGGGCTGCAGCCTTTAGCACGGCGTTTTGTGCGCTGTGAGCGGTGCCAGGGACATCCCTCCGCTGCTCCCCGCCATGGTGCTGCCACAGAAGCGCTGGATCTTCTGCATGGAGCCGAGACTCATGTGACTGGGGGAGGGGGAGGAGCCGGTTCCGGGGAGAAGGCGGGGCGTCTTCCCGGGGTCCCCTTCCCTAAACCACGAGCAGTGACGTCACCAAGGAATCTCCTGCCTGTTGGAGAATTCCTGGCAGAGTGGTGACGTGTCCGTGAGATATGGGAGCTGTGACGGTGCATCCCCCTCACTGGTCTGGGATATAATATGCAAATCACATTTTTACATCTGTGGGCTTACCTAAAAGAGATTTGGATGAACACCATAAACTATACAACCTGATTGTATAGTCTCCTTTAGATCTACAATCAACTATGTCATGCCCGATTGGATACAAGTCAAATGCATTGTTTAGATTTGTCCTCATATTTCATAGGGTTGGAAAATCTATATGATTGTACAATCAGATTGTGTAGCCAAGGAACTGCAAGGGTTAACTGTTCGTTTTGGTCTAGGGCCAAAAATAACGATGATATACTCACCCATCTTCAGTCCCATCTGGCTGTTAGACTGGTCCCTGCAGCCTACCTCCCCCTCTGTTCCAATGATGGACTGTCCTGCGGCACCCTACCGTCCAATACAGTCTTCTTAGGCCTCCACAGCGGAGGGGGAGATAGGCTGCAGAGACCAGTCTAGCAGCCAGTTCAAATGAATATATTAATCCCCACACAGCTACCTCCTCATGTATCACTTGACCCTCCCTTTAAGATTGTACACTCTTACGGGCAGGGCCTGTCTTCCTTATATTGTAAAGCGCTGCGCAAACTGTTGGCGCTATAGCAATCCTGTATAATAATAATATCATTGTTATTTTAAATGATAGATCATGGTGGGCAAACTCCAGCCGTCCAGCCGTGGTGGAGCTACAAATTCCATCATGCATCTATAGCACTTAACCCTTGCAGCACAGGGGTAACCTCAATGCAAGGGTTAGGTTTTCTACTGCCCCGAATGCTTCTTTTAAAAAAAACTAGACTCCAGCTGCTTTTATTTTTTTATTAAATGCATCTCTGTCTGCAGTACTCACATCCTCTCTGGTGCTGCTCCCCACAGACTCACCTGCTTGAGGGTCCAGTCCCAGGTCCCCTGGTGACAGTATACACACCAATTGTGACAGGTCCTCTTTGGAGAATTATCAGGGATCTAAACAAACCCCTTATGTTTTCCCTTTGTCATAAAAATATCGGGGGGGACACAACCCCTATATCATTCTCCTCCGCTGCCCAGAACTCACTAATATTAAACATGGAAGTGATCAGTACTGGGCTCTCCTGTGTTCATTCACAAACTGAAGGAGATCAGTAATCATGCCTCTTGGCTGCCGAGTTCATGAGTGTATAGCCTAAGGCAGGGGTGCCCACAATTTTTCGTCTGGAGATCTACTTTTCAAATGACGAGCTCAATGAGATCTACCAACGAAAAAGCACCTGCATTCAGGGAGGGTGCGTGGTAATACATTGAAGTCAATGGCACGGAAGCCACGCCCCCAGTACAATCGCCGCACCAAGACAGATTCCGGAATTCCGGGTGTGGAGCCATTGAATTCAATGCACCGCCATGCCGCCTCCCACTCCTGAACGCAGTGAGCCACCCGGCTTGCGTTCCAATGCGTTCTAGAGGCCGAACACTCTGGAACGCAAACTTTGTGGTGTGACCCAGCCCTTTCTTCTCTCTCTCCTCGCGCTCTCTCCCCTATTTCTATCTGCTGTCTCTTCTCTCACTTTCTCTGCTGTCTCTCTCCTGTCTGTCTTTTCTTACCTTCACTGCAGCAGCTTTCCTAGTCTCCTCTCTCCTTCCCGCCTGCAGCGTCTGGTCACATTCAGCCGCACGAGCACCGCGGGAGGACAGGACACAGGTCAGTGAGCCGATCGCGATCTAGCAGTATTCGCTTTGCGATCTACTAGTAGATCGCGATCTACCTAATGGGCACCCCTGGCCTAAGGGGAATGCAGCACACCTGAAGCCTGGTTTCACACCTATGTTTTTCAACAGTTGGAAAAGTATTTTTAATCGCCCATCACAAGAAATCACATGATTTTCACTGGCCCCTGTTCACATCTGAGGAGCAAAATGGCAGCAGGAAAATGCCAAATGCCCGAAAAGGTACAGGAGCTTCTTTGGACAGCGCGTTTTTGCCCTATACAATTCAATGGAAACGCCCGAAAACGTGTGGCAGAGGCACATTTTAGTGCTCGTTTTTAAGTAACGTTTCTTCTGCCAGTCAAAATGTGCGTCTCCATTGTGCGCTCATACAAATGCGCGTCACAAAGTGCAAAACTTGCATAAACGTGCAAATAACCGCACGCTGACGCACACGTACGAACGCGCAAAACGATGCCGCCTAGATGTGAACGATAGCCATCGTACATCACCAATCACATCTGGGAAACTATGCATCGAAAGTGACAGCTAGTAATCTAAGTTCCCGCCTAATGCTTCAGTATCCATCAGGTTTCACTCACATTTCCCGTTCCAGCCACTATTCCACAGGGAACACAGAACTCCCCCAATGATGAGACAACCCTTTCATTCTTCAATCAGAGGATCATCATCGCCTCCATTTAATAGTGAGTCCTTCCCCTTCTCCATACACATACCACCATAGATTTCTATAGAATCGTTTTAATAGCAACTTCCAGGTAGTTGCGCTCCTTTTTGTTGTTTTCACATTTCAGGCATGAGCTGAAACAAAAACTTAATTCTGGAATACTGGCAACAATTACCGTGTTTTGCGGTCTATAAGACGCTACGGACGATAGGACGCAGGGATTCTGTGACAGAAATTCTGTCACAGAAGCTGCAGTTAGTGACCGCTGAGACAGGTGGCGCTGTGATTACAGCGCCACGGTCTCCGTAATCACACAGAGCAGGCGAAGAACGACGTTCTTCGTCTGCTCAAGGGGCTCTATGGTGAGCTCCTATGGGGGCGGGGGACCCCGAAAACCAAGGCGGGGGGCGGACACGATCGCCGCCGCTGCTCGATTTAAAACAAGTGATCTAATTAGATCACTTGTATTAAACGAGCAGTGGCTCCCACTGTACATTCAGCTCTGCTTGTCAGGAGCAGGGCTGAATGTCCAAAAAAAACTACCCGCCCCGCGCCCGGAACTGCATGTCCCGGGCGTCAGGCGATAGGTATTCGCTCCATAAGACGCAGGCAAATTTTCCCCCTCTTTTGGGGGAAAAAAAAGTGTGTCTTATGGAGCGAAAAATACGGTATGTCCTATTTAGATGGAAGGATCCAACAACCTTTAGAAGATGCTGGGAGAGAGATTTAGCGCTACGCTGTCTGTGAAATGGTAGTAATAAGGTGGTTTGCAGCCTAATCTTGACTATCCAAGACCCTCCTCCCTGAGGGTACTATTGTAACAAAAACTATTTTACATGTTACTGTCCATACTGAGTAAATGTGAGCTAGACGAAGTCGAGGAAGGAAGAACATATCCAGCACTATTGGTAAATTCTAAGGGAAAAGAAGCTTGCTTTCTTGCGCAAGCCCTTAAGAGCTGGCTGTCAGGGGCCAGTTATGCTGGATCTCAGCTGCAGAAGTTGGAGGGGTGGTTTTTTTAGGAGAAGGTGGCTCAGAGGGCGGTTCCCCGTTACACTCAGTGCGGCGGGGATACCGTACGCATCATATGCCACCTGACCCTGTCCTATTAACACACTTCTGTGGGGTTGAGGCTCCAGTACAGGGTGTATGTTATTTAGAGTGCGGGGGAAGGTTGACTAAGTCTGAGTGATACCTATTAAGCAAGTACTGAATAACATCACAATCACCAATATCTTGTTATGGAAGAGCAGTTGCTACCTTGTAACAGATGGTGGTTTGATAGGTTCACAGCAATGAGTATGCACACTGAGTTAACAACACATGTGGTCTAACTGGTCTATATAGCTAAGTTATTTACTATGGAGAGTCATATATATATATAATGCCACTGAACCCCAACACGCATAGATCACAGGAGTGCAGATATGCCAAACAGCTGAAGCAAAGGTATGTTTGTCTTATGAGACCCAGGTACTTGAGCTTAGAAGTGTTTCACACTAGAGGGGAATTGGAAGGCTTCCTGGTGACAGTGATATGCATGACCTCTGATCCGGGTCAATGGTTGTGTCAGCGGCGTAGCACTCTCCAGACAGCAGGGTGTCTGAGAGTGTAGGTTCAGGGCAGACCTGGCGGGTTCACTGTTCGGTACTAGACGCTCCACAACAAGAGAAAACGCAGAGTGAACGAAACAGCTGCGGTTTTACGAGCGGGGCCGCGCCGTGTGGGAGGAGCTGGGCGTGACGTCAGCATGGAGACGACTCTACTAGCTCTTCCACCCAAACATCGCCCTTCGAGGGAACGCGCCGGGCGAATCCATGACAGTACCCCCTCCTCAAGGACACCCCACCCGGGAGTCTGTGCGGAGAAGGTTTGGATGGGTGTCTGGAATGAAAGGTCCTCAACAATTTAGGAGCATGTACATCTTCTCGGTTTTCCCAGGAGTCCTCCTGGGGTCCATACCCCCTCCATCTGATTAAGTACTGCAGTTTACGTCTGTGGAAACGGGCGTCCAGGATTTGCTCCACCTCGAACTCCTGCTCCCCCTGAATAGCAACAGGTGGAGGGACAGGAGGTGATCTATCCTGAAAAGTATTGGCCCTTTGTGGCTTCAGGCGTGAGACATGAAATGTAGGATGTACTTTTAGGGTGTGTGGTAGAGTAAGTCTGACTGCCACCGAGTTGATGATTTTCTCTATAGGGTATGGTCCGATAAAGAGCCGACTAAGCATTTTGGAGGGAGTCTTGAGGGCAATATTCTTGGTAGATAACCAGACAAGGTCCCCGACTACGTAGCTAGGGGGTTCACGCCTCCTGAGATCATAATACTTCTTATGACGGTCTTGGGCGGTTTTCAGATTGGTTTTTATCAGGTCGTAGTTTTGTTGGATCCTTTGTAGATAATCGTTGGCAGCTGGGAGATTTGTGGGCAGGAAGGATGTTGGGAATGGTTTGGGAT